GCCGTGGTATGTTGTCTGCACAGGTAACCCAGGTAAAAAGGCGCGAATCTATTGTCTGCCGTTGCTGTGATGGGGGGGGAGGGGCCTGACGACATGTACCCAGAACCGCCCGCGACACTGTTTTGCATCATCCGGGCATTGGGATCTCAACCCAGAATTCCAAGGGGCGGCGGAGACTGAGGGAACTGTGGGTTAGCTGTGGGATAGCTACCCATAGTGCAATGCTCCGGAAGTCGACGCTAGCCTCGTACTGTGGATGCGGTCCGCCGACTAGAGCACCTAGAGCATTTTATGTGGACACACACAATCGGCTGTATACAACCGATTTCAATAAAACGGGCTTCTATAAATTTGAACTAATTACGTAGTGTAGACATACCCTAACTCTGTGTTTATTAATAAACAAAAGTGATTTTATTAAGTGTAAAAAGTAGGAGTTAAATGGTTTCAAGTAATAACAGACAGACCAAAGTAAGTCACCAAGCAAAATAAAGTGAAAACACGCAAGGTTAAGCCTAATACATTAAGAAACTGATTGCAGATAATATCTCACCCTCAGAGATGTTGCAGTAAGGTCCTTTCACAGACTAGACTCCTTCCTAATCTGGGCCCAATCCTTTCCCCCCGTACAGTCCTTGTTAGTTCCAGCAGACATCTCAGGTGGCAGGCAGGGGTTTTCTCATGACTGGTAGCCCCCATTGTCCTGCTCCACCCCTTTTTATAGCTTTGGCACAAGGCGGGAATCTTCTCTCTGTGCTTGTCCCCACCTCTGCCTCATCAATGGAAAAGTACAAGGATTAAATGGATTCCAGTATCGTGTGACATGGTCACATGTCACAGTAAGACCCCTAGTCTCCATTCTTCCTGGGTTGGCCCACACCTACACAGGAAGGTGTGCAGGTAAATAAACCATTTACAACCAATTGTCCTAGTCAATGGGAGCCATCAAGATTCTAAACCACCATTAATGGCCCACACTTTGCATAATTACAATAGGACCTCAGAGTTATACTTCATATTTCTGGCTTCAGATAGAAGAATGATACATGCATCCAAATAGAAGAAATATATTCCTATAGGTTATAACGTTTGATATGATACCTTACAAGAGACCTTTTGCACAAAGCATGTTCCAGTTACATCATATTCACACTCAAAAGCACACTTCCATAAAACATATGGAGTGCAATGACACAGAGTCAGCTGAAGAAAATTCATTATTCAACTAAAAATCCTTTCCCTTATATTCACTTAAATATTCATATTATCATAAATTAACTGGAGGGAAATTATTTTAAAGTCCTACCTATATCTTGATGTTAGGAAAGTTTTTCACACAGTCACACCAGACATTCTTATAAGCAAACTTGGGAAACATTTCCCTCAACCACATGGTTCAGACAAAATTATTATCACGTGGCTATATAACTGGTTGAAAGACTGGACTCAAAGATTGGTTATCAATGGTTTGCTGTCAATCTAGGATGCTATACCTAGGGGGTGGGGGGTAGCCAGAGGAGGTTGTCCCGGGTCTTTTACTCTTCAGTATTTTCTCTAATAACTTGAATACTGGAGTGGACAGTTCACTGATAATATTTGCAGAGGACACCAAGCTGAGAGGGGTTGCAAGCACTTTGGAAGACAGGATAAGAATTCAAAATGAGCTTCACTAATTGGAGACTTCATCTGAAATCAACAAAATGAAATTCAATAAAGGCCTCAGCTGGAGTTTTGTACCCAATTTTGCCCAGCACACTTCAGTGGGGAAGATGTGGACAAACTGGAGAGAGTCCAGAGGAGAGCTAGTAAAATGACAAAAGTTTTAGAACCCTGACCTCTGAGGACAAATTGAAAACACTGGGCATGTTTAGTGTTCAGAAAAGCAGACTGACGGGGGACTGGGTAACAGTTTTCAAATATGTGTAGGGCCGTTTTAAAGAACATGGTGATCAATAGTTCTGCGTCCACTGAAGACAAGATGAGATGTAATTGGCTTAATCTGCATGATGGGAAATACAGGTTAGATATTAGCAATGACTTTCTAACTCTAATGATCGTAAAGTGTTGATTTCAGGCTTTCACGGGAAGTTGTGGAATCTACATCACTGAAGGTTTATAAGGAGAGTTTAGACAAAGACCAGTCAGGTCAGGTCCTGCCGCCTCCCAGAGGTCTGAACTTGGTGACCTCCCAAGGTTCCTTCCAGCCCTGGAGTTCAAGGATTCTACAATTTTATGTAATATTTAGAGCAGGGAAATATATTCTAATTCCCTTCTGATACTTTTGGAGCAAGGGGGAATATCTTCTTCTTACCACAGTTAGTACTTATCTCCCCTGGGCAGATGGCCAGCACCATGGTATTGACCAGTTAATGTACTTTGCTGCTTAGGGATTCTCTTGAGTTGGAGGGATGTAGTGCAGGGAGCATGTACAGAGCACCATCACCGTGGTGAATTTCACCCAAACTGCTTGGGATAGAAAGAATGGAGGAGAAAGGAAAACCAGAAGGCCAATGCTATGATGCAGAATAATTTTTAATGGGAATGAGCAGTGGACTACACACTTGCAGAATGAATTAACGCAGAGTACAAAGAATGTATTTTCAGGGTTACAATCCGAGCAAGAACCAATCACCCGCTCCGAAGTGAGGCTTTTCACACAAGATCATCTGCTTTCTGCCTTGAAGCTGTTGAGTTTGAAAATCATGTCCCTTTTTCAACCAAGTGACTTGTTTTAGCCAGTTCAACGTCAAATAGCAGAAAGCATAAGACTAAGCGGCAAAACCTGTAGATCATAAAGCTACAACAATATGTACCAAGTGGAAGACACAGATAGGCCTGATTTATAGAGGTGATGAACACCCACAGTCTGCAAGTCGAGTTGTAGGCATCATTGTCCATTAGATCAGTGGTGAATCTCTATCTTGTCATTTTTCTGATTGTTTCTCATTCCTCGGATCGTTCTTCTGGGTTTAGCATGGCCCGTAGTTTCCACTCTTGACTCCACAATATCCTCCCCCAGAAATGCTACGATATGACTTCTTGTTATAACCATATGAACCTCCAGAACCATATGAGCCTCCATAACAACCCCCATAGCCACCCCCGGCTCCGCCCCCATAACCACCCCCAGCTCCACCCCCGTAACCACCCCCATAACCACCCCCGACTCCACCTCCATATACTCCCCCATAACCAGTTGAGCCTCCGAATCCTCCACCAGAACCAACAACACTGTTACCTCCCCCATAACCACCACCATAACCTCCCCCATAAGTAATTGATCCACCATATGAGCCCCCAGGTCTAATTGGCAAATTTGGTAAGGAGCTTCCTACGAAGCTGTCTTGAGGACATGTAGCCATAGTTGGTCCCGGGAATCTCACAACAACTGGTGGCGCAAAGACCACTGCAGTCGAATCTCCGCATGATGAGATACACGGCTCGTTGCGGACGTCAATACATGGACGTGGGCATATATCGGGATAACAATCCTGGGGTGGGCAGTAAGTCATTTTCTGTGTTGGAGGGAATCCTGAAAAACACAGGAGGGAGTAAAGAAACCATGAGACACAGTTGAGATTGAAATAAGAGATTCATGGTTTGAGTTTTAGAGTAAGAGGGGCGAGATAGGTAGGTAGGTTTTTTGAAGGCCACATATCTGCTCCCGTTTCTTCCTTCTATTCATTCGCACCCATTCCCCTTAGGCTTCAGACACACACACACACACACAAAATCCCAGCAATTTCAAAACAAGTTACCTCTTCACTGCTTCATGCAACCATTAAGTTGCACAACACCCTGTGAAGTCAGTGAGAGCTACTTTTAATTCAAAACTGCTATTCCAGCTTGTACCAGCTAAAGGTCTGGATCAGAGATTACAACTTCTACACATAAGACTTTAAGTTTTGCCATAGTGGGTCAGCTCAGTGATCCAACTCATCCAGTGTCCTGTCTCTAATGCTGTGCAGCACGACACTCTTCAGAGAAAATAATAGAAGCCCTGACATGGCCCATTATGGAGGAAACTGCTCATAAGGAGAATTTCTTCTTACCATCAGTAAACTAGGGGCTAGATTTGCCCTGAAGGGAAATTCCTATAAAGCACTTCTAAATTCTGAAACTTATCTAGATCTTCATCATCCACTAAACTAAAAAGAACAATCAAGTTGCTCTTCAATTGTTATATTTCAAAACGGATCTCCAGCCTTTTATGGAAACAGCAGGGTCAGATGATCATCTTGGACAAATAGCTCTGAGTCCAGTGAAGTCAGCTGACCGTCTGGCAATTGTATTTATCAATAAAGAGTCAGAATAAAACTCTCCATACCTAAAGTAGCCTAAAGCTGAGATTTTTCATAATTGTCTAATGGATTTACATGCACTACCCCCTATTATATTTATTGCAAATGGGTGTCCCAATCCCATATGTGGATTTTAAAATCCCAGCATGATATGTTTAAATTCCTCCACCACCAAGGCCTGCAACTGACTAGTTGTATAAAAACTACCCTCATTATTATTGCTAAAATCACACAGTATTGGTGAAGGTTCAATCCATAGTTAAAACTATCACTAAAGCGACCACTAGAGTAATTTGAATTCAGTAGACTTACCCAGTACACCAAGGGGATGAAGTCAAGAGAAGTGGATACAACAACCCAAAGTTGCAAGCACTTTTATATGCTTTTGTAGCCAATGGGAAGGATAGGAGACACCCTTTCAATAAGCAAACAAAGTGTTTTCTTGCATGCATTACCAGTGACAGAACAAAATGTTTTCTTACTTAATATGATAATTATTATTATCCTCTAATTATTTTAATGGCTTTGCTATGGTTGATCAATTACTCAATTTTCAATTCCACTTATGGATGACATGCATATTACACCCTGAAGTTCCTTAAATCTGAAAGTTTTATGGGCAACATACCTTCCTGGTATCATCTCAGTAATCTCCTTGGTGTTGACAGAGGTATAAATCCAGTTCCATTGCATTACTTCTTCATTGAATAACTTCAAAATATGAAGGTGACTCAAAGGTGTATCAATATTACAATCTGCTGGGATCTGCAGGGTTCCATTTTGTTCTTTAAATTCCAACTAGTATCTAATTAGCGGCAAGGTGGAATTCTTGAGGGGTGGGAGATATTATTCTGCAGGTGTATATTCTCACCCTTAGCTGTACACTTTGTGTTTGAGCCAACAACCTTTGGAACTGCATGAATGTCTCTCCCATCAGTTCAATGGCCTTAGAAACAGACCTTCTGGGTTACAATACTGTGCTGGACACATGACCAGGACAATAGCACAAACTCATATATTAAATGGTAATAAGTCGCCAGGACCAGATGGTATTCACTCAATAGTTCAGAAAGAACTCAAATATGAAATTGCCTAAGTACTAACTGCGGTAAGAAGCAGCCCCTCGATCCGATGATTAGCGGATAACTAATGTGACACTAATTTTTTTAAATATCTCAAGTTCAGTACAAGGTAAATTGGTTGAAACTATAGTAAAGATCAGAATTATCAGCCATATAGAGGACCGTGATACGCTGGGGAAGAGTCAATATGGCTTTTGTGAAGGGAAGTCATGGCTTACTAATCATTAGAATTCTTTGAATCAGTCCACAAATATATGGACAAGCGTGATCCAGTGGAGAATGTGTAGTTGGACTTTCAGAAAGACTTTGACAAGCTCCCGCACCAAAGGCTCTTAAACAAACTAAGGAGTTACGGGGTAAGAGGGAAGGTTCTCTCATGGATCAGTAACCGGTTAATATATAATGGGAAAGGGGAAGAAAGGAAACTTTTAGTTTTCAAAGTAGAAAGAGGTAAACAGTCGGCTCCCTAAAGGAGTTGTACTGGGACCAGTGCTCTTCCGTGTATTCATAAATGATCTGGAAAAAGAGGTAAACTTTGAATTGGCCAAGTTTGCAGACCACACAAAGTATTTATGATAGTTAAGTGCAAAGCGTACTGCAAAGAGTTACTAAGAGATCTTACAAAACTGGGTGACTGGGCAAGAAAATGGTAGTAGAATTTCAAGTTGACAAATGCAAAGTAATACAGATTGGAAAAAATTATCTCAATTATACACTAACAAGGATGGGGTCTGATTTAGCTGTTGCCACTAAAGAAAGGTCTTGGAGTTATTGTGGGGAGTTTTCTGAAAACATCCGCTCAGTCATAGACTCACAGAAATGTAGGACTGGAAGGGAACTTAGGAGGTCATCTAGTCCAGTCCCCTGCACTCATGGCAGGACTAAGTTTTATCTAGACCATCCCTGACAGGTGTTTGTCTAACCTGCTCTTAAAGATCTCTATTGATGGAGATTCCACAACCTCCCTGGACAATTTATTCCAGTGCTTAACCACCCTGGCAGTTAGGAAGCTTTTCCTAATGTCCAAACTAAACCACCCAATCTGCAATCTAAGACCATTGCTTCTCGTCCTATCCTCAGAGGTTAAGGAGAACAAGTTTTCTCCCTCCTCCTTCTAACAATCTATTATGTGCTTGAAAACTGTTATCATGCCCCCTCTCTGTCTTCTCTTCTCCAGAATATACAAACCCAATTTCTGCAATGTTCCCTTATAGGTCATGTTTTCTAGTCTTGTAATCATTTTTGTTGCTCTTCTCCGGACTTTCTCCAACTTGCCCATATCGTTCCTGAAATGCAGCGCCCAGAACTGGACACAATACTCTAGTTGAGGCCTAATCAGCATTTCTTGCTTACAGCACTCCTGATACTACATTCCAGAAAGATGATTGGTTTTTGTTTTGTTTTGGTTTTTGCAACAGTGTTACACTGTTGACTCATATTTACCTTGTGACCCACTATGATCCCCAGATCCCTTTCTGCAGTAGGCAGTCAGGCAATCTGAGGGAGTCATTTTCCATTTTGTATGTGTGCAACTGATTGTTCTTTCCTATATGGAATACTTTGCATTTGTCCTTATTAAATTTCATGTTATTTACTTCAGACCATTTCTTCAGTTTGTCCAGATCATTTTGAATTTTAATCCTATCCTCCAAAGCACTTGCAAGCCCTCTCAGCTGGATATCATCCACAAATTTTATATGTGTCCTCTCTATACCATTGTCTAAATCATCGATGAAGATATTGAACAGAACTGGACAAAGAACTGATCCCTGTAGGACCCCACTCATTATGCCCTTCCAGCATGACTGTGAACCACTGATAGCTACTCTCTGGGAACGGTTTTCCAACCAGTTATGCACCCACCTTATAGTAGCTCCATCTAGTTGTATTTCCCTAATTTGTTTATGAAAAGGTCATGCAAGACAGTATCAAAAGACTTACTAAATCAAGATATACTAGGTCTACTGCGTTCCCCCAAAGAAAGATGTTTGTTTGATTTGACATGATTTGTTCTGGACAACTCCATGCTGACTTCTACTTATCACCTTGTTATCGTCTAGGTGTTTGCAAATAGATTCCTTACTTATTTGCTCCATTATTTTTCTAAGTACTGAAGTTAAGCAGATTGGTCTGTAATTCACTGGGTGGTCCTTATTGCTCTTCCGTGTATTCATAAATGATCTGGAAAAAGAGGTAAACTTTGAATTGGCCAAGTTTGCAGACCACACAAAGTATTTATGATAGTTAAGTG